AAAGGCAGTTCATAATTTATGCCTTGATCCACCAGCAACGGTGGACGTTTGATGTACAAGGCGAAGGCTGGGGCTGCACCATATGTCGTAGGTCAGTCAGTTGGTTGACGTATTGTGTAGCATCCTGCCCGCCTCCTCAGCAACAATGCAGAAGATCATGATGCTGCACAATACGTTGATCAAACTAATTGAACTACGACGCATGGTGCAGCCACGGCCTTCGCCTTGTACATCAAACGTCCACCGCTGTCACCATCCGGAATAAACCAAGCGACCGGCTGCATCCCTTCGCTGAACATAACGCTGCAGCCGGTGGCAAGATTTCCTCCAGGCAATGGGGTAATCCAGGCTTTCATAACAATAGAAATAAAATTGAAAGAGCAGTTTTTTTGGACTGCAAAGGCAACACAATCATCCAACACCATCCATTCTTCACACTGGTAACACCTCAACAAGGGAAGGGCACCCCGCGGGTTGGTGAGAATGGACAGGGTCAGGATACTGTGACCCGCATCGACAAAAAAACAATAGATAGTTGTCTGGATAGCGAGGGATATTATTAGCTGGTCAAATGGCGAAGTGAGATATACGTACATTCATTCCCTCGCCCTGTATGCTTATGGGACCGATGAGGGAGTAGTTGGTGATTACGTGCGTAACGACGTCTCTTCCGGCGACAGAGATGTCTCCTCCAGTGTTAGTGACGCCTTGCAAGTGTTGGCTATGGGTTTTGACCTCCGTATTGCAGTGGCAATGGAGGCAACAGACTCGGAGGTGCGGACGAGGGCCACCTCCGTTTGTGGTGGTGTCCCGCGCTCGAGCAAAAGCTTGACTGTTGCGACCTGGTAGATCATGAATTTTAGATATTCATTCGCTGGATCGGGTTGCGATACTTACCATTCGAGCGGGGAGCGCCTCCCTTACCTGCCCTGTAGGGCATCCCGTCGCTCAGATAAGATGATGTCGTATGATGGTATGGACGAGTGCTTGAAACAGGCACTATCAACAGGGGTGTAGGGAAGCCTAGAGGAGCAGGCTACAATGTCATTGACTTACATTTAAGATCTCGCAACTAGTGAAGGAACTTCTCCGAAGGGTTTAGAATGTGACCTGTGCCAACGATTGCACGGCCAACGCAGCCTCGCGATGCGGCGCCCTCAAGCTTATCTGTCATTCAGAGGCTTCTCGAAGCCCATCGAATGTCAGATGTGGTGCGGAACTGCTGTGGTGTGGGTCCATGTAGAAGATGATGGCCCTAACGTTACTATTCACTCGTTGCACAGGAAGTCATGCCCCTTGAGGCTGACACCGAGAATTCACCATTTAATTTGTCACTTGCTAGTAGTGCCACTCTACAGCCTTTGAAGTGCCTCTTCTAATTTCTTCAACACCTCTGCGTTTTCTTCTTCTGTACCGACCGTGATCCTGAGAACACCCTCACAACCAAGTTCATTGCCTCTAAACCTGACCACAACACCCATCTCCTCCGCAAGGGCCTTGTAAACGACGTTTGCACGTTTGCTCGAAGGCTTGAGCTGAGTACCTGAAGCGGAGTTGGGAGAGGGGCGTTCCAATATCCTCACCAAAACAAAGTTTGCGTCGTTGGCGCCGATGATCTCGCCCACACCCAGGGCGCCTCCTTCCTTGAGGGTGGCAGACGACAGTTCCTGAAGACCCTTGATCAGAGCTGACCGATTCCGTTTGAGCGTTCGCACGTTCTGCCTCCACCGATCGAGGGAAGCGGGTGAGAGAGCTTGCTCCGCAAGATGGGCGGTAGGGACTGAGACATTGTACGGCGCTTTGGTGTTGGAGAGAATTTGAATCAAAGGTGGTTGGGCAAAAGCGACGCCAAGACTAAAGAGCAGGTTTAGCGACACTAGACGGAGCGTCAGAGAGGGAGACGGACCGGATACCAGCCAAACCAAAGCTTTTGCTGAGGGTTTGCGTGACGACGACGTTTGCGTACTTTTCGACGAGAGTGGCTCCGCTCCTGTCCAAAATCTTCTTCTCGTCCTCATCCTCACTTCCAACAAAGTCGATGTACGCCTCGTCAAGGACTGCGACACCCTTGAACTCTTCCCACTCCAGGATCTCCTTTACAGAGCTCAGGTCTAACAGAGTGCCGGTAGGGTTTCCGGGCGAACAGAGAAACAAGAGCTTGACAATGTGTCCTTGCTGTTGTTCTTCACGAATAGCATTTTTCACCGCTTCGACATCGAGGCTGAAGCGTCCCGTCTTTCCTCCTTCTGTCCATGCCGCGGATGGCGGCGTCACGCGGAGGGGCACCTTGACAGTCGAGACGTCATTCACCTGGGCACACACACCGTACATGCCATAGGTAGGCGGTGTAGCCACGATCTTTTCAAGATTAGCACCTGCTTCATTTTAAGGAGCTGTATCAAGTATCGATATGATAATGACTCACCTTCAGTGCCGGGTTTGACAAAGATCCGGATTAGCAGGTCCAGCACCTCGTCAGATCCGACGCCCAAAAAGACGTAGTCTGGCGATGGGAGGGAACGCAAGTCCGCGAGCCTCGACTTGACCGGGATATGGGTAGGTGATGGGTAACGGTGCAATGGTAGATTGAGGGTATCCGCCATCTTGGCCTCAAACTCCGTGTCAACAGAACCATTCGACTTGGATGGCTCTGAGACGATAGCATGTCCTAGAGCATTTTCGTTGGCATCCAGTAGGATTCCCTCTGAGTAGTCATCCCTAGCGCATCTGTATGGCTGTAACGCAAGAATATTGGGCCTAATAGCCGCCTCTAGGTTGAAATGTTTGGGGTATGCTGAACCGGCGTGAGTCATGGTGCAAAAGCGATGAGGTGCCTAGGTTCGATGGTAGGTCTTTCTGAGCACCTTAGACGCTCTAAGGACAAGATGGGGGGATGAGATAGATGAGAATTTGAACAGGGAGAAACGAGAACTCGGCAAATGACTCTGGCTGAGAAATTGGAGTCAGGATCGGATTGGCGCCAAAGCGCGCTGATAAGATAAGGAATAGGGGCTGAAGCCACTGAGCCCATCCTTGAAGAGTGTCATGAGCAGGGTAGTTGGAAGCTCTTAGCATGATTTTGGAGAATTCATGCCTCGGTGACTTGATACTCAGAGATCCCGCCGGCGAGAAAGTTTAAGCACTGGCTTGGGCGAACATCGGTTGGGCTTTCACCTTCCGAAGGTAAGTAGACTGTAGTTTTGCGAGGTCCAACGCCTTTCAAGGCGAGATGGCCGAGCGGTCTAAGGCGCTAGAATCAGGATCTAGTCCGAAAGGGCGTGGGTTCGAATCCCACTCTCGTCAGACTTTTTGCACTGTTCAGCTTGCACAATTCTGGTGATGCTATTGGGCGATAAGATTAGATGCAGAGCGATCCCAGCTCTCCCTCGTACCACCACCATCAGGCATGGACGTCGACAAACCGTATACGCTACTTCCAGTTGCAGAGTTAGAAGGTTCCTCCTACTGTATCTGACTTGCAATCGTTGACCAACTCTCTTTTCTAGGGCACGCGGAGCGTGCTTGGAACCTCTCGTGGAATCCAAAGCATCCATTGCTCGCGTCATGCTCCGCAGATAAAACTGTTAGGATGTACTCGTATGGTTCTTCTGGTAGCGATGCTGGAGCATTGTCGTTCAAACCTACCAGCACGATCCATACGGACATCTCAAGACTGTCCGAGCAGTTGCATGGTCACCGTCTGGTCAGACTCTGGCAACAGCTTCCTTCGACTCGAATGTCGGGATCTGGGAGCAGGAGCACAACGATGACGAAGAAGAACAGGAAGGCCGACTGAATCCCACTGCTGATTGGGAGTGCATAGGGACGCTTGAAGGGCACGAGACCGAGTGTAAATCCGTGGCTTATTCTTGCACCGGAACCCTGCTCGCTAGCTGTAGCAGGGACAAGTCTGTCTGGATCTGGGAGGGTGAGTGAGCCCGTATGTACTGCACATGATTCTTTTGCTAACTCGAACTTTTTAGTCCAACCCGATGCAGAGTTTGAGTGTATGGGCGTCTTGTTGGAGCACTCCCAAGACGTCAAGCATGTTAGTTGGCATCCGCATGAAGAGGTCTGTACCACCTGATAGTGACCCCTCGCGTCTGCTGATAACCCCTGGGCTAGATTCTCGCATCCGCATCTTACGGACGATACGATCAAGTTGTACATTGACGACCCGTCTGATGACTGGTACTGCGTTACCACTCTTCAAGGGCACACCTCAACGGTCTGGTGCCTGCATGGAGTCCGTGTGGACGGCTATCTGGCATCTTGCTCGGACGATAAAACAGTGCGCATCTGGGCCTATGTTGATGCTACATCTGCTCCGGTCGGTGAAGGTGGAAAGCGCGCTCTCCAAGTGAAGCCACCCTCTGTCCTTGCAAGTAGTCAGGGAGAAGGGAGGTGGAATCCCGGTGGCTGTAATTGAAGCAGGAGAGCGAAGTGTCCTACTCTATCAGCTGGACATCCAAGCCAGGAGAAAAGGACGGAAAAGGTGGCTTAGGATGGCTGGCTGCAGCAGGAGGTGATGGTGTCATTCGCGTATGGGATATGAAAAGTAAGTCACTGCGTTTCTCTCCCTGGTCCAGTGCCTAATGAAAATCTAGGAGGGGGAGTCATCACCACTTCCTCTCACTCACGACCTCATCGCTACATATACTGATGCTCATGGTGGTGCACGATGTGAACTCAATATCCTGGTGCCCTAGGAAAGGGTTTGAATCATTGCTGGCGACTGCATGCGACGATGGCTCAATCAGAGTATGGAACGTTGTCGCAGCCTAGACTATTTGAATCTCAGTCCAACCGAATATGTGTAGCTGCGAGGTAATATACACTGAGATCATGTAGAGGATCATGTAGAGGATTGATTCGGCGGCACTTGAACGTACATAGTAGGCCTTCGGACTGTTGCTCTTTCCGAGAGTTTCCAAATTTCAAGATTATGATGGCAGATTCTCTCATTGACCTCAATGCGAGAAGAAACCAAACAAAAAATGTGATGAGAGTGGGATTCGAACCCACGCCCTTTCGGACCAGATACCACTTTCGTGATTGGTTGGAACATTGAATGCCCTGATCCTTAGTCTGGCGCCTTAGACCGCTCGGCCATCTCACCATGTGAACAGGCTGAGTATGTTGTTAGTTATATCGCCAAGGGAATCGTCGCGTCTTTTCATATGAGCTCTTTCGCTTCCACGGGCTCCTCTGACCAATACCACATTGACCTCCGGAGCCCGTCCGATGTTGAACAACATGACAGAAAGCTTTCTTATAAATAAACTGCCTCCCAGCTCTTCTGCAAAAAGAACCCAGGAGACCAGGAGGAGCAAGTTGCGCACACGAGAGCAACTCGCAGACTCTATTGCTTACTCGGTACGACCAGGCTTTGGAAGATCAGAAGCGTGTAGGCTCCTCTTTACCTCCCACTGTGAGGATACTGAGCCATTGCGCAGAGGAGAGCGCAAAAGTTCGATGCTACTCGACAACTAGACGTGTTTGCGAGTCTGAATCTGAACGATGATTCTGAGGATGATGACATTGCAGAGGACGATGAGCAGGTTTCTCATGCTGCACCCATCAGCCGTAGGACCATACGTCTCTATGCTGAAGGCCTCTGGTGCTCCCGATGCTGTTGTGAACGACACGGAGATCCATGATGACGGAGTGGAGGATGCTCCTAGTGGTTCCGTCCCGTCGGAGATTGCTCCAGGCAAGAGGAAGCGCCGGAAAAAGGGAAAGAAGAAGAATAGCAACTACAACAAGCCATCCAAATGGGCAGACCAGTGCATGTACGCTGAGCTGCTTGAGATGACGGCAGATGATAACCTATGGGAGTCTGACGACGACACACTTCCGAGTGACCTTGAAACCAGCTGGGTCGCTGTCGCTCCTATACCGGTGGGTAAACGTTGTCTTGTGGTCACACATCAGTCTCCGGGACTGGGAGGAGGTTGGTCTATACATTTTCCGGCTTCCGGGATGGATCTGATGCTTCACTCCAGTTCCTAATACAACGCTTCGTTCACGCCTTCTTGGGAAGGCCTTGATTCCGCGTTTTCCATCCCCTTTACCTGCGTTGACCGTTCTCGACTGTATCTTGGACGCCAACTGGAGGGACAACGGGATCATTCATGTTCTGGATGTCATTCGATGGAAAGGCCAAGATGTCGGTGATTGTGAAGCACCCTTTCGGTGAGCCTTGTCCGAACCTGAGCGCTCATACCGTTCCTGATAGCACTTCTCCAAGGTTCTGGTGGAGAGACACGAGGCTAAGCGAAGTATCCCAGTCGCTTCCTCCAAACATTAATTTTCGAAAAGCGAAGCAAGGGGATCACCTGCAGTTCCCATACCCAACTTACTTCATGCCCATACCCTATCACGCGGATACCTCACTGACATCTCTGGACAGGGATGTCATTCCTGCCGCCCGCTCAGTTCGGTCGATTACAGTGGGGATGCCATCCACTATTCCCTCCGCCCCGGAAATAGGTCAAGAAGAAGTCTTCAGCTTCAGCATGGAGGTTGAAATGCCGTTGAAGCCTGCCGGATCTTCCTCGTCGCCATTCGTCTTTGCTTCGTCATCTCCACCTTCAGTCAGTCTATCGCCGACTTCTGCAATCGTACAGTCCGATGGCTTGCTTCTCTATGTTTCGGAGTCAAGCTATGAGCCTGGAACCAGTCCACTGAGCAGCTGGGTCCCTCTTTCCCTCGGAGGCAACCAAGAAACAGAACCAACCCACTCCTCTGGTCAGCTGGACGAAGGACCATTGGAACTCTTCCACAGGTGAGTTCTATGCACCAGGCAAAACGTGACACATTTCTCATCGCGCTCTATTCCGTAGGCTGGTCAAACGGCGATTAAACCGTGCACGAATGCAAACGTCCGAATCAACGGGGGACGTTTCGATGGACCTCTGAGCCTGGATTGTACTCGCTCGCTCCGTCGTTACGATATCGATTGCGTCTATTCCTGTGTAGTCAGTCGTTCTGACCGTCGCGCTTATAGGGACGAATTCATGTATTCACCCGATTCGGGATTGGGGTCTCTTCTAGATTATACACCGGCTCCTCGGGAGACAGGGGAGGGTGCTTCTCCGTTATCTGATTTTCTCTCTCAGCAAATCCGGACGAACGGACAACTAAATTTCCCTCGTCCCGACTCGGAACGGTGCAGCAACGCGATTGGGCAGAGGTCGGCGCAAAAAAGGCGACGGCGGCGTTATGGGGGCATATTGAATTCCGAATCGTCCTTGTTTGAGAGCTCGCTTGCAGTTGTAATCGTCTTCTTTTCAACTTAATCTCGACTTGTGTCAAAGGATTCGGTACCGGAGTCGTATCGACCTCGAGCAATGTACGACGCAGCTCCCTCTACCACCGCAACCCCTCGGCCCTTCGTGCATCCTTCTGGGCGCGAAGTGTTTCTCGTAAAGGGAAGTGCCTCATTGCACGTCAATGGCTTCATTATTGCCCCGAAATGGACGAGCCTCCTTTGAAACCGCGCATGTTGGGTGCACCAACTTCCCCGAGTCGGCGAGTGGCGTGGTCGCCAAGGGATGAACACGGGAACGGCGGATGGAATACGGATCCTTCCTATATAATTGTCAGAGAGAAAGGGAAGGTTCAACATATCTCTCCTCACCAACCACCGAAGCCTCTCATCCCCACCTCTGACGGGGGTCGACTGCACTTTGCCTTCTGTGCCCGCCTTTATCTTATCCAACATCCGGTGGCCTTACCATGATGCTCCAACAAAGACATTCAACATGCGACGCCAGCAGCTCATATCCTGCCTCACATCCTGCTTCACCGCGCTCAACAACCGAGAATGAACTCGCCACCTCAGTAACTGGTATTTCGAGGCAACTTCTGGAAACCTTTGCATTTTCTCAAGTCGACCAAATGGTGGGCGACGTGGCCCATATGAGGGAATACCTCACGTCAAAGTTCCCAGACCCTGTCGAGCGGCCTTTGGTACGTTCCATTTCTCACTTGGCTTCACGATCACGGACTAACCAGCACTTCTCCCTTCAGGGGCCCTCCGCTCCAACGGACAGACGCGGTGTCGCAGAAGGGGTCATGATGGAATACAAGGGCGCGATCTATGGGAAGAGGGTTTTGGACTGTCAGCAAGTGATTCTCGAATATCTCCTTGGGAAGTGCTTGGAGCAATGTCGTTCGTGCTTGGAGGAACTGCAGCAGACACGCGAAGCATCAAGAACGGCGGACGAGTCAATATCATACGTTGTGGATTATGGGAGGCAGCGAGACGTGGTGATAGACGAGGCTTCAGTAAACGCAGAGTCGGCCAGGATGTTCAGCAAGGTCAGACAAGACCTGTATCAGCTGACGGAGGAGCTGCGTGAGTTGGACGATTCGCGGAACTTGGCCATGCAATTTCTAACAAACCCGGTATCTGTCTTGCCTCTTGTAAAAAGGACATGATTATGATATATAAGTTTATGCCGTATGTAGTTTAGTTTATGAATCCAGTATAATCATCCATTCACTAATCTATGTTTTGGAAACAATCGCGGGCATTGACAAGTGGTTTGAAACGACAACGCTTGTCGTAATCAACGATTCAAGACTCGGAGACGTTTGAATGGATCAAACACGTAGTGCCTAGAAATATACCCTGTTTTTAATCGGTTTGCCAACCGCGGTGAGCGTCGCTTGCTCGAGCGTCGAAAGTTCTTTTGCGACCAAAAGCGACGACTTGGAGGTATGACAAGGTGAGTATTATTATTCTATTCATCAGCCCGGAAGCGGGCGTCAAACCAATGGCGCTCAGCACTTCTCACTGCTCAGCACTTCTCACTGCTCAGCACTTCTCACTGCTCAGCACTTCTCACTGCTCAGCACTTCTCACTGCTCAGCACTTCTCACTGCTCAGCACTTCTCACTGCTCAGCACTTCTCACTGCTCAGCACTTCTCACTGCTCAGCACTTCTCACTGCTCAGCACTTCTCACTGCTCAGCACTTCTCACTGCTCAGCACTTCTCACTGCTCAGCACTTCTCACTGTCTTTTCACCTCGCATTCTGTCTTCGATAGGGTCAAAACAAAAAGGGAAAAAGATTGGACACATTGGGAATTGAACCCAACACCTCTCGCACCGGAATCCGTTGGGTTCAAATCCCAATGGGTTGCTAAGCGAGCGTGATAACCAACTACACCATGTGCCCGTGAAGATACAAGCAGTTAGCTATACTATATCTAAATGGCCCTACCTTCAGATCATCCAGCGCCACAATTGATAGAGAGACCAAGTCCATTTCACACACAGGTCCGCTACATAGCCAAAGCCAATCCAGTTGGAATCTTCAACATGCGCGAGGCAGATCCAGAATACCCTTGAAATCCGATCGGCCACTCTTGCTCAAACCTCATGCAACGAAGAGCCCCCTAGCCAATGGCTACGAGGATATGCATCAATTCAGACTAGCAAGACACCTGGGGCAGCCGGTGGTGGTCCCTCCGGATGGCCCTGATCAATTTGGAAAGCGTGATCCTTTGCCTCACCCCTCGAAAACCCTACTGAACCCTTCTGCTACGAGAGACAAAGTTACGATCCCGAGAAGTGATGCCATTGATTGAATCTGAAGGGAAATCCTCGCAGAATAGCCCGAGCGCCCTTGTACCCACAAAGCGCCTCGGCGTCCGCCAATTGTACGCTATAGCTCGGCGTTCTCGAATCGACAAGAGTGGGGCAACTTACCGTACGGAGATACATGTCCGGTATGGGCGCTTTCCTTTTCAGGGAACAGGCTTGCCATGTCGTCCCACGTAAACCCACGGTCCCTTCCACATACGGTACAGCAACTCTTTGTCTCAGTAAAATCCTGGATTCCTCCTTTTATCGAGAGTTACTATTATCAGGGTCTTGTCACATTGAGATGGCATGCAACATGCCATTGGGGTAAGAAGCAGGGAATTCCTTGTGGATTGCAAACGGTGCATGTGGCCTGCTCACGCCGAAACCTAATTTCGGGGGTGGAGGGACAGTATTTAAGGTAGCCATCTAGCGAGTAAATTAGATAGCAAACTCATTCCCTCTCTTTCCAATCTCCTTTTTCCTCACCAAATCTTCACCATGGTTCCTCGTCTAGATAAGTC